ACCTGGAACCCTTTTCCCCCCCCCTCCAACACACTCACACCTGGAACCCCTTCCCTCCCTAGAACACACCTGCACCTGGAACCCCTTCTCCCAACACCCCTTCCCTTCCTAGAACACACTCACACCTGGAACCCCTTCTCCCAACACCCCTTCCCTTCCTAGAACACACTCACACCTGGAACCCCCTCCCTCAAACACACCCACACCTGGAACCCCTTTCCACCTCCAACATACCATAACTGGAACCCATTCTCTCCCCCAAACATCCCCGCACTTGGATCCCCCTCCCCCCCACAGACACCCACACCTGGAGCCCCTTCCCTCCCAACACATTGCACCTGGAACTCCTTCCCTCCCCCAGAATGCACCCACACCTGGAACCCCTCCCCCCAACACATTCACAGCTAGAACCCCTTCCCTCCCCTAGAACACACCCGCACCTGGAATCCCTTCCCTTCCCCAAAACATACCCACACCTGGAACCCCTTCCCACCACCTCAACATGGCCACACCTGGAACCCCTTCCCTCCCCCAGAACACACCTGCACTGCAAGCAGCAAGAGAACATGGAAAAGCACCCCAGGGACAGACCCAAGTGTAAACCTCTTCGAGGCTTCACTGCTGCAAGTCCACACCTCTTGTCTAAATGCAAACATGCAGGACTTGGGGAAGGGTAGCTAGAAAAATGTACAAAGCCTAGTTCACAGTGTATTAATCCCTGTCCACAGGTCCAGGGGAGGGTGTGAGGCACTCACCTTGGATACAAAGTTAAGAGGGCAACAAAGAAACTCAGTGACCACAATAAATTAGATTTCAATGCGATATTTTTAAGTCAGAATTAATAAAAAAACATCCATGATGAACACAGTATCATCCTTTTAAGTAAAATCAGGCTCTCTCTGGCAAGTATCTAGGTGTGAAGGACTCCAGGACCATGGCAACCAATTGCTTCTGAAACCTGGTCCTGGATCCCAGAGAGTGCAGGGCGTGTGACACCATGTCCACGGGGCCATCACATGCCAGGACTCTGTGAGGACTGTCCCGACACCATGACTCAGAATTCCCAGATGTCCACCCCACATCTCTCAGCAGGAAAAGCTTGCCTTTGAACTCCTGGAATTGTATTCTGGCATCCCATCCAGAAGCTCATCTAGGTGTTGCGTCTATATCTGCCAATCAGGTAAAACCAGGTGGTGGTGCTCAGGAAGGGCAGGGCAGGCCATTCAGATGGGAAGACAGGAGAGGGCGAGGGCCAGACCAGACAGGTGGTAAGATGGGTGGGTGGGGAGTGAACAGGCTATTCAGGTGGGAAGATGTGAGAGAGACAGGATAGTCAGGGGGGAAGATGGGGAAGGAGAGAGGCATTCCTGTGTCCCAGGCTCATGAGCAGGGGTTGCAAAGAGGGTTCCCACTGGCACCCCGACCCTGGCCTCTCCTCTCCCACTCAGGCCCTACAGGTCCTGTCAGGACGAGGGAAGCACAGGCAGGAGCATTAGGAAGGACCACCCTACTGGCTCTGGATCCCAGAGGGAGCAAACGCCAGGGTTCCCCATAGCCCAGTGAGGCCAGGTCACTTCCAGGGCCCAGAATCAAGTGGACAGGGGTGGGCAGGGAGGCCTGGCTGCCACATCTCATCAGGACAGAGTGAGAGGTGCTCAGGGCCCGGCTAGAGAGGGAGTCAGCAAGACACATGCCAGCCAGCACAGACTGAGTCCAGCTGCAGTGCCATCAACACCCCCACCGGCAGGTGGTAGGTTCACCGCCTCCTACACAGCACCTAGGTGAGCATCTGGCCAAAGGCCAGGGAAGGATCTGGGATGCAGGTTCCCCCAGGGGTAGTGTGGGCTTTCCTCTCCCATATAGGTTTTCATTCCTTTGAGCTCCTGGTGCAGGAAAATGCTGATTTGCATGAAAGGAAAAGAGCATTTGGAAACATTTCCTACCAATAACCAACCTGACAAGAGAAGCTATTCTCAGGTCTGAGGCCCAGAGACCACGGGCATCCACTGGACCACATGAAACAGCCCAGATTTGAGAGTTTCTGACCTACAGCCACATTTGCATTTGCACACACACACTTCTCTCCACAAAGGGAAGCCATCCAGCAAGGGGAGGCACCTTAATACTAGCCTTGGGGCTCCAGGACACACTCAGGTCAGAGAGCTTCAAGGGCAAAGGTAAGTGGCACCACCCAGGTCACAGTTGGTTTTCTGTGGTCAGGAGGGGAAAGACGTACAAATTCACACAACCAGGTAGTGGACACTTGGGTCACCAGGTTCCTGCAAATTCACACAACCAGGAAGCGGACACTCGGGTCACCAGGTTCCTGCAAATTCACACAACCAGGTAGCGGACACTCAGGGTCACTGCTGATCACTGTGCACTGAGGCAGCTCTCACCTGACCCAGGTGTGAGTCTCCAGCAGAGCCCTTGGGGGAAGCGCAACACTACAGACACAGCAGCACCACCTGCCTGGCCCTCCTACACCTGATGCGAAAGGCTGAGTTCCTCCACTCACAGAGGAACCTGTGGACCTTTTGACTGAGGGGTGCCAATCACAACCACGCCAACTTCTGGGCCCTGCCCTTGCTTTGTTAAAGGTCAACTCAGGAGCTATCACTGCACAGGGGAGGGGCAGGAAGGGGATTCCCATGTGGGGACCTTGGAGGTGAGAGAGCTGGCCACCAGTCAGGTCTAGGTGTCCCGGGAACATATCATTGTGTTCTTAAGCAAAAAGGGGCTCTGTAAGGAACCCCATACCACCACGCATCCCAAGGACAAGGGGACCCTTTCCAAAGATGTGATTGCAGGATCTAAACAAATAAGACTCTGTGGATGACCTCAAGAACTCCGAGATGGATGACCATCATTCACATACTGCCACAAACCTCTCTACCACTTCCTCCTCTGTAGACACACATGGTAAGGATGGCATTGGTAGACAAGGCCTGCAGGGTAACCAGGAATGCCTGGCAACACCTGGTACCACATAAATGCAGCAGAAGGGCACGTGCCTGACCACAGCTCCCATCCATCATCCACACTAACTCCAAATCACTCCTCTTCCTTAGCAGAGACCCAGCCTTCCTGTGTTCTTCCCCGCATAGACAGTAAAAATCAACTCGCTCCTGTTCTACAGCAGGTGACCATCACTCAGTCACTCGACATCAGTGACACCACACCCTTCTAAGACAGACGACTGTGGCCTAACAAAGAGGCAAGTAAAACCCCCTCACACCACAGAACACCATCTAGAGCCAGTGTGACATGGATGGCACTGTGGGATGTGCCCACAAGTGACATTTAGTGGTACCAAGGGCATTCAGCTGTGTTCGCGGCTTGGAATCTGGAGTTATGAAGGGCCCAGTGAACAGACTATGTGTGCCCTTCTCCCCATCAAAAGGACAAGGACTGCCTTGGTCATTGGGACTGCTGGTAGGATTCATTTCCCCCTCCTAGCCGAGGTGCAGGGGTGGGGGCAAAGGTCATCTTGTGCGTGTTGACTTGACTGGACAAACAGGAAGGACAGAGACGAGACAACAAAACCCTGGGCAGCACATCTGCAACGCCTACCACCCAAGATGCACTGGGGCCTTGAAGCCAAAGTGCTAATGGGCTCAGACAGCAAGGAGGATCACGGCCACACCTCGGGTGACCAGGACAGGGCTTCTGTCACAGTTACAGAGAAAGGGCGGTGGTGAGTCCACCCCTGCACCACATCCCCTGTATCCAGCAGCCAAGGCCAAAAACCAGCATCACCAGAGAGACACTCCCAGACCAGTGATGTAAGGGGTGGAAGGGTCATGAGGGCAGGAGCACAGCCTCCAGACCCTGCACCCAACCACGCTGTCCCTCACAGCGCAGAGGCCTTGGGTCACGCAAGGTAAAGACACATGACATAGCCTGGAGAAGGCTCAGCATTCAGATTCAGGAAGCAGCTTCCAGGAGAGTCAGGGCTGGCTTCGGCCACCCTGCTACTTGGCCTGGCCCAGCTCGAGCAGCTCCCTGTGTCCAGGGACAGGGGAAGCCCAGGCAGTTGACTGCGCATGGGGCCTGAAGGCAGCTTGTGTCAGCGGCCCACAGGCACCTCATACATAGCACTGCTTCACAGAAGGTGCCCCCAAGGGCTCCATCCTACCTCAGGACACCACACACAAATGCCCTGGCTGAGGAGCCCTAGTCCCCTGTGCCGGGGTACTGTGGTGACACCTCCTCCCCAAACTATACCTAAAGCTCACAGACTCCAGGGACAGGGCAAGAGCAAGTGAGGAGTGGTACAGTGTTCAGACAGCACAAGGGACAAGCGGGCTGTGCCTGACTCCAGCTGACACCCATGAGCAAGTCTCCAAGTCGCCATCCCTGGACAAACATGTGTGTCTTGAACCCACCGACCCTGAGCCTGAGAAGGCAGCTGGACGCTCCCCATGAGGGGAGGGTTCTCGAAGAATGACAGACAGTGCTGCCCTCACAACAGTGACTCTGTCTCCCCATGGCCCCGGCCCCAGTCCCACAGAGGCAGTCCCCTCAACACCTGGAGGATTCCACAAAGGAGGCCCTGGAGCCCAGGGATGTGGGGCCAGCCTGTCAGCCCAACATCCTCCGTGGCACAGAAGGCCTGTCTCTCCCACCAGATGAGATTCCAGATCCCAGCAGAGGAGCTACACTGACCGCAGGACAACCAGGACTGGCACAGAGAAGGCTGACAGGGATCCCAAGGCAGCCCGGGACACACCCTGGCCAAGGAGGGAGCAGCAGACAGATGTGGCTGAGCCACCCAGTCAGGCTACCCTGAAGGAAAGGAAGACCACGTGGGCCAAGGGAAGGCTCACAGACTCCTTCCCGCACAGCAGAGCTGACATGCAAGCAGCAGACCCCAGAAGCGGCCCTGTCCACCCCCTATCTTCAAAGTGCATTATCAGTGCAGGCACTGGCCCAAGGTCCACTCTGAGAAGGGCTGTGCCCACCTGCTGCCAGCCCCGCTGCCCAGGCCCACCCTTCTGCTACGACCAGAACTCCTGCGGGAGCTCGTACGAAGCAGGCCTATGGGAGCCCAGTGCAGCCCTGCACAGCGGTACGGTGTTGTCCTGGCTCTGCCCCTCTGCATCCAGGTCCAGCAGTGTCCGCTCGGCTGGGGGCAGCCCTGCCTGGAAGGGGAGCAGGGTGGGTAGGCTGGGCCGCTCCTCCACAGTGCTGCTACTGCTGGCCAGGCAAGAGTCCAGGTTGCTGGGCGTCTCGGTGCCGGAGCTGTGGGCAGGCGAGGTGCAGTGGGCATGGCTGGGCGACACAAACCACCAGGGGTCCAGCCGCTGCCGGGTAGCAGAGGGCCGTGGACGTGGCAGGAACTCCAGGGTCTTGGGTCTCTCCAGGGCAGAGTCCTGCTGTGCACTCCAACGCCTTGGAGTCGGGGGAAAGACCACGTTGGGATCGGGGAGACGGGGGAATTCTCCGGTGTCTCGGCTGGGACTAGGCGTTTTCGACATTCCTGCTCCAGGAGACAAAGTAAGAGAGACAGGATGACAAGGTCAGGTGAGCCTGCTCCCGCTCACCCAGCCACGTCCCTGTGCACTTGGGCAATGCAAACTCACAGGTTGGGGACTGCAGCCTCCTCCTCAGAACAACCAGAGGCTACCTCCTGCCCCCCTGGCACCAGGGGGCACAACCCCACCTCCAGATCTACAAGCCCCAAGGCCTGATTCTTCCAGAACCTGCCTTTCTCCAACCTCAGGGAAGATGTGCCCTCAAGCACAGGGCAGAGAGGAGGCAGCAGCCCTGGCCCCCTGAACTGTACTTCCTGACGGGCTGAACAGGAAGGGTGACATCTGCTCATCTCAGAGGGGGACTGGAGACGAGGCCCCCGTGGGTCCTCACTCCCCAGGGAGGCCAGGGGAGGGGAGGGTGTAGGAGAGGTGGGGGTGAGACTCACCTAGCCCGGGGTTCAGCCCATTGCTGGAGGTGCTCCTGCTGGCTGGGGGCACAGCAGGCTGGAGGGCCCCGTCAGAGGGAGTCCGCCGGTGGCCGCTGGCTTGTGTGGGAGCCGTGAGTATGACATGGGTGGGGGTCAGAGACTGGCGGGGGTCCTGTTTGAAGCGTTCCACGCAGACGTTGACCAGAGGGTTGTGAGTACAGGCTGGGGCCTCTGCTGGGCTGGCAGGCATCTCACAGACCACGATCTCGTCACTGTCGGAGCGCAGCAGGGAGCGGGTGGAGTTGCACTCAGAGATGGAGGACAGTGACAGCAGGGTCAGGGATGCCGCGGGGTCCCCGAGCCACAGCAAGGGCTCCTCCTTCTTGAAAAGCTTCCGGGATGGGGGGCTGGTGCTCCGCCGGGGACGGCTGGCCCGCAGGAAAAGACTCTCCCGCCTCTTCTTCTCCTCCCGGGTGGGGGGCTCGGGCTCCTCCGGGGACAGTGGCAGGCACTTGCCCGCTTCCAACAGGTCAAAGCCCAGGCCTGTGGCCGCAAGCACGGCCCCACAGCCCAGCAGGGCCACTTCACAGCGCCGGTGGTGGGCCCCGCTCCGCTTGAGGCTGCTAGTCGGTGTCAGTTGGGGGGTACTAGTGGCTGAGTTGGCCGGGGTAGGCTCCTCATGGCCTCCCTCACTGGAGGGGCCCTCGCCATCCTCCACTCGAGGGAACGGGAGGCAGAGGTAGGACTGGTTGGGTGAGTGCTGCAGGCGACCCTCTCTAGTCCACTGGCCCTCGCTGTCCTCGTCCTCTGTGACGGAGTGACAGGAAGTAGGACTGAGCAACAGGGGTGAGAATTGGGTCTTCCCAGTCCCAAGCCCCTGACCCAGTCCCAGACTCCCTGACTCAGCCCCAGGCTCCCCAGCCCAGCCCCAGGCAACCCAGCCCAGCCCCAGGCCCACAGAGGTTGGTCAACAAGTGGGACATGGAGTCAGACGCTGAACTGACAGGGACACTGCTCTCCATTCCAGAGCACATTTCCCTTTGCAAGGAAAGGGGCCTGCTGAGTTGAGGCTGGTGAGGTCACTACAGGTGTGGCCATGACTGGACGGAGGGAGGCCTGGACAGGTGGAAAGCTTGCCTCCGGGTACCTGAAGGTACTTCTGGGGAAGACTGACATGTGGTCCATGGCTAGGAGAGGAAGGCCCCTTCAGTCAGTGGCAGGCGTGGCTACAGGACAGTCGGGAGGAGGAGGTGTCTGCCCGTTGGCCTCCTACCCTCACCCGGAGCAGGTCACCCTTCCTCTCCTACCCATGGACGTCAGACTCCAGGTCCTTCGGCTTCATTCTCTGGGACTTACACCAGCGGCCCTGGGGACTGTGGGGCCTCTGGGTTCAGACTGCAGCTATGCTGCCAGAATCCCTGGCCTTAAGGCCTTCAGACCTGGACAGGGTAGAGACTGCAGAGAACCACTGGGCCCTTGCCTTGTGCTCGTGGGGGCCATGGGCCTAACAGGCTCCCTTTCATACACCTATATATGATCTACAGAGGGCACAAAGAAAATATACACATTTTAAGAAAAGAAAAGACTATATTAAAATTGTAAGATAAATATAAGTCACATTTGACTTCTGCAATTATAAGAGGTGCTCAAAGTGGTTACCATCAGTGTCCAGCCACTTCTGAAAAGTACTTCAAAAAGTTCTTCAAAAAACAGATAACATCCCTTAAAATGTGTATACCTCTTTTGGCACCCCAGTATATATCTCTCTCCTGGTGGTCCTGACCCCCTAGAGAGCTCCAGACAGGACCCTCAACCCTAGGTATAGCATGAGTTCCTAGGACACTGGCTTTTGTCCCTTGAAATTGGAAGGGCCTCTAGTTTCTAGTAAAACAGACTAGCAACCTCTCTTGAAACCCATCTCCTGCAAAGAATCAGAATCCCCTATGTGGGTAAAGGCCAGTCTTTTCAAGGATTATGCGTTAGACCCTATGCGACACCTGAGGGCCTGGGGAGACCTTTCCATTCCTGACCACACGACAGCCCTGAAGTCTATGCAGCAGGATCACCTGAAGGCCTGGGGAAACCTTCCCCATCCTGACCACAGGGCAGCCGTGGATGTCTGTCTACACGCAGGATCACCTGAGGGCCTGTGAGAGCTTCCCATCCCTGACCACAGGGTAGCCCTGGCATCTACACAACATGATCACCTGAGGGCCTGGGGAGACCTTCCCGTCCCTAACCACATGGCAGCCTTGGAAAAGCTTCCGGGAAGGAGGCTGCAGTGTCCTTGTACCAGCCCCCACGTTGTGGACCTGCCATAATTTCAAATGAGAAAACAGACCCAGGAAAGAGATGCCTAATGTCACCCCAGGCCCTGTACTGCCTCAGGGAGACCACAACGACCTATTGGGGCCAAACCCCAAGAGCAGCCTCATGGTCGCAGCAGAAGAAACTGCTTGAGGAGGCTTGATGAGATGGGTGTGGAGCCAACTGAGCAGGGTGGAGGGGCGGGAGCCAGGAGGGAGTCCAAGAGGAGGCAGCCTGTGCAGGAGCCCAGGGGGTCCTCAGCAGCCCTGGAGCCTGGGCAGGAGTTCCCCAGCAGGGTAGGAAGGAGCCCACACAAGAGTAATGCTTACCTATCTCCATGAGACTGGTGAACCCTGGCAGGGCCGGGCTGCTCCTGGGGCCCTTCCCCAGGTTGGGGGTGCTGGATGACCACTGCTTGTACCCCTCGACCAGGGACTTGAGGCTGCATCAGAGGACAGTAGGCTGTCAGGACTGGCTCCTTCCCTGACCCGACCCTCTGCCCCAGGGGTCCCTGGAAATATCATGCCCTGTCTGCTCCTGACACCAAAGTGCCTTGGGGTCCAGGTAGCAACTTCCCCAAGCCCACCAGCTTCACAGACAAAAGCGCACATGCTGCGCGGAAGGTAAGCTGTGCCACAACCCCCAAGCTGCCTCGAAGCTGCAGGCGCCGGCAAGCACACAGAAAGCAGAAGGGCCCTGCCTGCAGAGGATTCCTGAGTTCCTCTCAAGAGACAGGCCCTTGAAGCAGACACCGATGGTGCAGTTGATGCTCCAGAAGCACTGCAGTGTGCAAACTGGCAGGGCTCGGCAAGCACCACTGCCACCATCCCTCAGCTCTCCTCTAAGCCCGCGGTCTGCTCAGGCCATCCATTCCACAAAGAAAAACCAGCCAACAAAGCTGCGCCAATCAGGGCCCCATGGGCAGGCCTCTGTGGGCAGCGCTGTGCACTGTGTGCTCAAACCCCTGTAACAGTGCATGCGGCAGACTGGAAACTCCTTGGGTACAGCCTGGCACCCACCACCCCTTGTGGGATGGGGTCAGGGTCCAGAAGCATCAGTCTTTTCCCTAGAGGACAGGAAAAGGGCAGACTGAGGAGTTTGTGGGCTGTGGCTGCCTTGGAGATGTTGGGATTATGATCAGCGGTGGCTCCTCTGTCAAGACTACAAAGAACCTTCAACCAAAGCCTCCTCTACCAAGCTCCAGCCCACCTGAGGGAGAGGGAAGGGTGACCTTTCCCCCCGGCATCAGAACTTTGTTACAAGTGCTGTCAGTAATACCACTGACTTCAATGCATCTCAGCCACAACTGGCTGCAACCAGAACAAAGAGCCAGAGACAGCAGGCGGCAAAACCCATGGGCCAGGGCTTCTGACTAACAATCTGGTAATATCACTTCTAGCTCTGGGTGTGAGAAATGCAGATTAGTGAAGTAAAACTAGTGCCAAAGCCCCCAGGATAGACAGCCATGTGTCTTCTCCCTAAGCTACGGGTACTGGGAGTATCCCAACAACCAGAAAGGTCAGCGAAGGGAAGAGGAAGGTAAATCAGATCAGCATAGGAAGCTCAATGGGGTTGCTTAAAAAAACAAAAAACACACAGGTCACTTCATCCCTGGCAGTAATGAGCCTGATTCTGTGGGATGTGTGTGAGAACAAGGACACATTGCAGCTGCCACAGCAAAGGTGAGACTCACCCCAGGTGGAAGTGTGGAGACTCTGATGGGGTACTTAGACCATTGGCTCGCTCTCGCCTCTGAGGAGATCTTTAAAGAACACAGAGAATCAGCAGCAGGCAGTGGAGGCCACGCCCACCGAGCCCCCACCTGCAGCTCCGGGCTGGGCTAAGCTGTGCTCCCACTGCAGCCCTATTAGCCAGAAGAGACCACACCATGGAAGTCTTAACAGGGTGGTCCACTCAAGCTGCTCAAGGTCTAGGTCGTCCCAACTTGCAGGACAAAGACCCTGGACAGCTGCAGGATGGCATGGCTGCGGAGGGCCCGCAAAACTGCAAAAGCCCACAAAACTGCAGAGACCCAGGAGACCTCAGAGACCTAAGAAGCCTCAGGTGACCAAGAAACCACAGAGACTTGCAATACCACAGGTACCCAAGAAACCGTAGAAACCCAATAAACCTCAGAGACTCAAGAAATCTCAGACACCCAAGAAACCACGGGTGTCCACAAAACTGCAGAGGCCCACAAAACCACAGGTACCCAAGAAACCGCAGGTATCCAAGAAACTACAAGACTCACAAAGCCACAAGTAACCAAGCAACTAAAGGTATCCAAGAAGCCGGGCTCGGTGACTCAGCCTGTAATCCCAGAGCTTTGGGAGGCAGAAGTGAGTGGACTGCCTGAGCCCGTGGGTTCAAGACCCGCCTGGGCAACTTGGTGAGACCTCATCTCTACAATAAATCAAAAAATCAGCCAAGTGGGGTAGTGTGCGCCTGTAGTTCCAGCTACTTGGAAGGCTGAGGCAGAAGGATTGCTGGAACCCAGCAGGTCGAGGCTGCGGTGGCCAGGAGCGGTCACTGCACTCCAGTCTGGGCAACAGAGTGACACTCCAACTAAAAAAAATAAATAAATAAATAAAATAAGGGTATCCAAGAAACCCCAGGTACCCAAGCTGTCCAGAGGTGAGAGTGTTTCGGACAGAGAGGGACTGTTTTGTAAAAGGATGATCTAGATGAAAATTCACTGAATTCAAGATAGCTTTTGGTCATCACGTATTTTCTTTAGAAGATAGGTACTAAAATTTTAAATATTACATAAAGATTCTCAAAAATTTCTGGTATTAGTCTGGGCATGGTGCCTCATGCCTGCAATCCCAGCACTTTGGGAGGCTGAGGGGAAGATTGCTTGAGGCCAGGAGTTCAAGATCAACCTGGACAACATAGCAAGACCTCACCTCTATAAAAATACATACATACATACATAAATTTCTGACATTAAGGAGGTCTTTACTCAAGCCCAGATGGAATGTACTTTTATGTCTTCACTGAGAACTGAAATTCATGATTTTGAGTTGTTTCACAAGTGTGTGAAGGCATGTCTATGTAAGGAGGAAGAAAACTCCAAAGTTAATATTTATAATGTGAAATAAAGCAAACTTACTACAAAGCAAAAAAAAAAACCACCTTTAAACAAAGCAGACCATAGAAGCTGTTGGAATGCAGAGGTAGCCTGGTAAACCCTACTTATCTGGACTCACATGAATGTCTAGAAACAGCAGGATACTCAGGGCGATAGAGTTCTCAGACTCAAATCAACTCACAGTAGCCTGGGCTCCAAGGACAAGCTGGAAAGCTCTGGCTCCTGCAGAACTTGCTAGAATGGAGCTTTCTACCACCCTGCAGATTCGACTGTGGCTCTTACTCAGCTCAGGTGGTTGGCCCTACACATCTACATCTTCTATTTAAAGCTGTCTAGCAACGTCCCAAGTCTGACTTAAGAGTCAACCCTCTGTGAGCCATGCTGTTACCTTACCTTCAGCTCAGACCCAACTTGGGAGAATAATGGATGCTGGACACGAACTCTCAACATCTGAAGGCCTGCCAACGCCAATCACAGATCTCATATTCAACCTTAGAAGCCCTTGGGAAAGTCACTGAAAAGGCCAAAAGAGACTGCTGGCTATCCTCACACTCAGGAAGTCGAGCAGCACCGCTCTAGATGTTAGCATCAGACACAGACACAGGCACGCAGCTCATCCTGACATGGGAGGGCTTCAAGCCAGCTCACCCACAACACGTTCCACAGAGGTGACACACTCAGTGCTCACACTAACTCTAGCAGGTGGGTACTGATGTAACCCATCTTTACAGAAGAGAAAACATAAGGCCACGTGGCTGGGAGAGGGATTCACAGGACTCACACCCAGGTCATCTGGTCTCCACACCACCTTCGTGTGCCTGGCTGAGAGAACCTGAGCCCCAGGCCTCAGACCACAAGAACACAAGCACCTTCAAGGCTCCCAAGACCCTTGTGCCCTGCCCAGGGGAGGCCCATGCATGTCAGTGTGGCTGTGCCGGCATGGCTGTGTCAGTGGGGCTGGGTCAGCATGGCTGTGAGGTGAGGACTGAACAAAGCTACAGTGGCACTGGAGCTTCATCCAGCTGCACCCAGGGCTGGGAAATCCCACTTGCCTGCTGCAGGGTGGGTCTCCGGGCAAGAGTCCTGTGAAGCCCTGTCCTGGCCTCTCTTTCCCCCACAAAGTCACTCTCAGGTCTGTGCAGAACACTCCAGCAGGACTTTTCAAGTGTGGTTAACACCTGGGCGACTCACTACTCTGAGTAGACCCGCCTGGGGGCTGGCGAATGAAACTACGAGCCACAGCATGCGGGCCACTTGTCTCCTGAGGTGTGACTAGAACTCCCCATGTGTTTGCCCTCTATACTGCACAGCTGGTGGCCTTCCCACTCCAGCTGGGAAGCTGAGCAGTTGCATGCAGGACCACAAGGACAACAAAGCCTAAAGTATCTATGATCTGGCTCTTCGTGGGAAACGCTCGCTAATCTCTGTCCTAGGAGGTCCAGTGAACGCAGAGGTTGAACAATTCTGCTGTAAAGATCAGGAAACTTGCTATTCTCAGCAAGCACTGAAACACATCACAGAGAAAGAGGTGTTTCAAGTTGCATCTTGAAGATGGTGCACCCTCTTCATGTGAGAGAGAAGCCCACAGCATCTAGCTCTTACCCCTCATCTCCAGAGCTGAGCTCCTTCTGACCAAGTGTCCCTGGCCCCCAGGTCCGTCCCTTCTTCCTGGAGGCCCTCTTCTCCTCCTCTTCCCCTTCCTCCTTCGGGATGATGGAGCTCCGGCCCCAGGTTTTGCTGCTTTCGCCTGGTGTCACTGCAAATAACAAAAGTTGATGAAAGACAGGATCTAGAAAATGAACAGACAAGGCTCCTCGAAACTCTCTTCTACACCTCCAGACACACACACACGGAGCTGCTGGGAAGGTCGACCTTAGCAAAAACTGCCCAGTGGACCCTCCCAGGAATGTAGCAGTATTCTCAGTCACCAATCTCCTAGCTCTCAAAGTGCTAATCATTGAGAAATGCACTACATTGCCACAAGTCCAGCAGAAGGCCAGGGCCCAGGCCAGCCAGATACCAGGATCTCAAACAGATCTGACTCAAGGAACATGTTCTGTTGGGTAGAACTGGCAGTGGGAAAATGAGGAGGCAGGTAGAGGGGACAAAGAGAGAGAGGGGCAAGGAAGGCATGGAAGTCAGAAATGTGGGGAGGGGACCAGGAGGGAAGGAAACAGAGTTCAAGACTACAGAGAATAAACTGGGAGCAGGAGGAGGGGAAGGCACAGACCTCTGGAGCTACAATGAGTGAGACAGAAAGGGCATCCTTTTGATATTAACACCCAGGGCAAGGGCTGAGACCCAGGACTCAGGAACTGTGCTCATGTCATAATGAGCCCAGTGATCCAGTTACCAAAAAGCAGGGAGTTGCAGGGACAAGGAAAAGCATGGAGTGTGCAGAGGCTGCTGTTAGCCCCAGCCAACACTGCTGTGTGGAAAGGAAACCCACTGGTTTGACTGATTTTCAGGGAAAGCCAGAAATACAGGGTTTTTAAAAGAAACCTATCTTTATATTAGGGAAACTGATTCATACATACATACATACATGTATACATATACACATATGAATGTGCTTGTGTATTATTTTAAGCAAATACTGCAGCAGAAATAAAATTGGTCCAGATCTGGCCTATTATAAAGCATTTGGCAAGTTTCCTCAGGACCTACACTTTAGAAAAACCCTTCCTTGGGAGGCATGGACAAAAGAAAAACAATATGGCAGAGAGTTTGCCGGGTATCCAGGCCAGGGCTCCAACCTGCATCTGTATCCCATGCCAGTTTCCAAATTGCCTTGCACTTCTCTACAGGTCCCGCCAGAACCCACAGGCCCCTCTTCTGACAGCTGACTAAAGGTAGGGGAGGGGGAGGAGAGCTCTCAGGAGATGCGAGGCTAAGGGTGTGCGTACATATGTGCACGTATCTACACATTGTCCAGGAGAGGTGACAGAAGTTATGGATGGTGCAAGCCTGGACCATCGGTGCTGGACAGAGCGGGGAACAGGTGCCCCTGCTGTGTTCTGGCCCCAACCAATTTGGGAAACAGTCTCACACTGGATGGCTCGGAGGCGAGGAAGGACGGTGGGGCTTGCTGGGGGACTGGAGCAGCTGCTGATAAGGCTCTTCCTTTTCTCCATGGTAGGCGAGGCCTGCACCGTGAACTTGTGCTGGAAATCTGCTTGAGGAGAGGCAAACACAGGCACATGCATTACAATCTTCCCATAATCACATCCACACAGGAAATCTGACACCTCCTGGCAGGCCTGCAGGACAGGCCCCAGTTTGCTGGAAAGCTCTCTGTTTGCCTGGGAAACATTCTCTCTCAGAACCTTCTTTTTCCCAAGGGACATGGCGAGATGAATGTATGAAAAGACAGAAAGTGGCCAGGCTTGGTGACTCAGCGTATAATCCCAGCACTTTGAGAGGCCGAGGCGAGTGGATTGCCTGAGCCCTTAGGTTCAAGACCCGCCCGGGCAACTTGGTGAGACCTCGTCTCTACAACAAATCAAAAACTAGCTGGGTGTGGTAGTGCACGCCTGTAGTTCCAGCTACTTGGAAGGCTGAGGCAGAAGGATCGCCAGAGCCCAGCAGG